AAAACAAAATAATAATATCTTCAAATGTGCTTTAGTAGTAGTACAAGGGGGGACCCAAAAGTAACAGGAATTGGGCTGCAGTGGGGAGGGAGAGTGGTGGAACCCATTGTTCCACATGGTGTCTGTTAGGGACACGTCTCCTGAGTTAATGTGCTAAGTTGTATCACTCACTGTGAGTGCATCGGTTCGCCCATGAGAATTTTATTTTTTTAGTAAAACACCTTTTCCAATTCGCCGAAAATGTGATGACCGATTGTTGAGAGCAACGCAGAAACTATTGTAATGCTTAAAACTGCTTATGGGGATGCTGCCCTAAGTAAAAACAGAGTCTACAAATCGTTTTCAATCGTTTACAAAATGGAGAAATGTCAATTGATTGAAGACCAACCCAGTGCAGGATGACGCTCAACAATAAGTGACGAAAACATTGACAAAATCAAGGCCCTCATTCATGAAGACCATCGCCAAACCATTGATCAACTCAGTGGGATGTCTGACATATCATGGCGTTAAATCCACAGGATTTTATCTAAATATTTGCACATGAGAAGAATTGCAGCCAAATTTGTTCCTCGCTTTGTCACAGACAAGCAAAGGGAGCGTCAACTTCATGCATGTTTTGAGCTTCAAAATCAGCTCAAAGGGACCCTAAATTTTTTTCCAAGATATTACTGGTGATGAATTGTGGTGCTATGGATATGAACCTGAAACAAAGCAGCAATCAAGCCAGTGGAAGACAGCTAACTCTCCTCTAAAAAAGCTCGCCAAGTGAAGTCAAATATCTAGACAATGCTCATTTGTTTTTTCGAGTGTGCACGCTGAGTTCGTTCCCCGGGCAACATTGTCAACCAGAAGTTCTACTTGAAGGTTTTGAGGGAGAGAATCCGGAAGAAAATGGCAGATCTTTGGAGCACATGCGACTGGTTCTTCCATCATGACAACCAGCCCACACCATCCTCTCTGTTGAGCAATTTTTGACCAAAAACGGCATGACACCAATTGTCCACCCCCCTTCCGCCTACTCACTGGTCTAGCCCCTCTGATTTCTTTTTGTTCCCCAGACTCAAAAGGGACATGATAGGAAAGTGTTTTGTCATTGTGGAGGAGGTAAAACAAAAACTGCTGGAAGGTGATAAGTGAATTTAAAAAATGTTTTGAACAATGGAAGGATCATTTGGAGAGATACATTGTGGTCAAGGGAGAATATTTTGAAGGCAATAAAAATTTGGTGTAAAAATATTTATAAATAAAGAAGTTTCTTGGTCCCTCTCGTATATATATTAGAAACTATTTTACAGTATAAAAATAATGTATAATCTTTCAAATATAAATGTCCTATCATTAAATTGTAGAAACTTATACTTATTGTCGAGAATTGACATGTTTTTTATTGCCTGCATTTATTTGACATTAAAAAAGATAAGAATGAGTAATTGACTGTTCCATATTTATTTGTTTATGCTAATAGCAGTGATAAAATTAAAATAATACATACAAGAAATTAAATGCAAATTACAAGATGGATCTGAACATTTTACAAGACATATATCTATGGTCTCAGGCCATAACTAATTAAGTCAAAAAATGGTTCTCATGAGTTCTGTATATTGAGATCATCTGCCAAGCGTTCTAAACACCCAGAAGAAGTTGGTAGAGAGAATCACTTTATTATCTTAAAAGGGTGCTGCCCAATTACATTGGGTTGCTTTAAACACAGCATACTTATTAATCGCTACAGACAATTTTCAAAAACTAATATACAATTATATAGTATTAACAACATATATGAGCATAATATACAATTTTTTTTTTTTTTTTTTTTATCTATATATATATTTTTTTTATCATAATTTTTTTCCTATATTTTTATTTATTTATTTATTTTTTATTTATTTATTTTATTTTTACCATTTCTTTAATTCATTTATTAGCACTATACATCCCTTTATGTTCCTTCTCTCACTCTATACATTTTTCTCGTTCCCTAGATTTTCTCCTCTCTTTTCCTAACCTAATTCATAACATGCATACAAATACATAAAGTGCAGTGGACGTGACTACAACAAAATTTTTACAACACTAAAAATTTTAGAGGTCTACAGGAGAATTGTGAATTTACTAACTTCTACACGGTGTTTAGAAGGCTTGGAAGATGATCCCAATTCACAGAACTCAGGAGGACCATTAACTAGTTATGTCCAGAGAACATAGATATATTAGTTATTGTAATTGTTAAATAACATAATTTCATCACTAAAAATATTATTTAGCATAATAATGTTAATTAATTACACAGAACAAAATTTTACATCCTAAATAATCCATAGTCTATAAATAGTATTCAAATAAATCAAACAGAGCCTATGAATCATTAAGAAAAAAAAACTTTCATTGAGTAAAGATATTAAACCAGTATACAATATTTCAATACCTCATGAGTTTATCATATTAATAATAAGCTAAAGAAAACTAGTAGACTGATTAAGCTAAATTATAAGTACAATGGTACTTCATAATATGAATTAATTAAAATCATAAAGATTACTAATAAATTCAGAAAAGGTTATTCAAATTTATATCCCAATTCAAAGGAATCATTTAACTTATTGCAGTACAAAATAAAAAGCAATTATATATAATAAACTAACAGAAAATCAATTGCTTATGATAAGTATTGATTTGCATCTCTAAATATTGTGGCAAATATCGGAAAAATATAGCTTTAAAATTAATATATTTATTAATTAAATAAATTTCCATTTATTTAATTAATAAATATATTAATGCTTTACAGAAAGAAAGGCATATAAAAGTGTAAAAGCAGCTAGAATGAATGTGAATGTTGGATCTTTTGTGATATATATTTGCAACACAAATTTGCACACCAATATCATTGATTTGATATTACACGCTACTCTGCTACTGTCACAGATATGACACGCACAAATGTAGCAATCATCACATAAAAACTCAGTGCACATATCTCAGCTAGACATAATTTGCTTACTGAGAACTGGCTCCTAACTAATATGTACACAAATACATCCAATAATATCCATACAATACCCAATTTAATAGTTTGTATACTTAGTTCTGCCAAAAATACTGTTAAAAAAGTAGAACTTTGTTTACATCCTTGGGTATTATTTAGACAGTCCTTACCTCTATCAGGTTATTTTCTTTACATGTCAGGATAATAATCCCAATTAGTTTGGATTTTTCTTTGACTCAGTTAACATGGAGTGTGGTGATAAAGAAAACCGAAAAGCTTTGATCGCCATACACAAATTTGGAAAATGTAGGTCAGAGATTTTCAACACTTTGAAATCTTTGGGTATCAGCTGCATGTTCGTGTATCTCACTATAAATAGATATAATGAGACCCTATCTGAATGTGATAGACCTCGACCGGCCATCCTTGCACTGTGAGAATGGTAATTGCAGTTCGAGCAGTGGCTGCTCGAATCAGAAGAAATCACATTTAAAAACAACAAATCATGTCTCGGGAAATGTGAATCTCTGTCAGATCAATGTCTCGCATTATAAAAAGTGACCTTAGGGTGGGTGCATTTCGAAGAGTGACAGGACAAAGGCTAACCACTTCCCTAACAAAAATTAGAGTGGATAGACGCAAAGTGTTCCTTGGCCGTTACACCAATAGTCTTCATCGAAAGATTTTGTTAAGCGATGAGAACTTTTTTACAATTTTTACAATTGAAGAAAAATTTAAATGCCAAAATGATCGTGGGTGTGTACACAGCTCTATAGAAGCCCAAGAAGCCACAAGAAGAGTGAAAAGAGGTCATCATCCTTCCTCAGTGATGGTTTGGTGAAGAGTTTGCTTTGATGGCATCACAAAGCTCCATTTTTGTGAAAAAGGAGTTAAAATAGCAGCTAAAAACTATCAGGACAATATTTTGGAATCTGTTGTCATGCCTCTAAATGATACTCTGTTTGCTGGAAGTCATTGGGTTTTTCAGCAGGATTCCGCTCCAGATCACAAGGCCTGGTCAGCAGTGGCTCAGGAAGCCACGGAGCACACCCAAACTTGGAAAGTCTCAAATAATCTCTGGTCTGACCAGTTGAGCGTTTTCCTCAAGAACTGCAGCGTGCTGCTATTGATGACTGGCCATGGAGATTAAATACCTGTGTCAAGGCAAAAGGGGGACATTTGAGTAATTTCTTTTTTGTTTTACCCTCTATAGATATACATTTTATTTTCTAATTAAGTTTTTGAAAAAATTAATTTTCTGTTGAAATCTGTATATATTTCCTTGTAACAATATTTATGACAGGACTAGGTATTTACTATATAGACAAAAACTTGTGTATTAACCCATTCACTCCCAACGAGTTATCCCGTAGGCTGAAGTTATCCCATAGGCGCCAGCTACAAGTTAATACATAGAACATTTTTGTTTTACATACGTCACATATGATCAAACTCATAATATTTTCATATTCTTTAAAGGTATCTGTTTCTGATTTTGGGGATGAGGGTGGTGGAACCTTTTTTGAATATTTCATTTAACAGCAAACATGTTAACACTTTGCTCACAACTGTGTACTTCTAAAATTGTATTATTTTAGGGACTTTTGTTGAAATTATATTTAAAAAACAATTTTATTTTAGCTTCATAAATCCATTTATTAATTAAATGCATTTCATTTTCTCAGAACATTGAGGTGGTTTTAAACTTTTGACCAGCAGTGTAAATATATAGATATTAGTAGTGTATGAACGCTGATTATCAAGATCACTCATTGGTCACAGTTATGGTCAGAGAATTTAATTTGTCTTTTACCCCAATTCTACCACATAAAGTAACAAAATGTAAGCAATAACTATATTGATTTAACTTTCACCAGTTCTTAATCTGAACACCAGATATCTTATAAACTACTGGAGGCTAATCTTCATACTATAGACATATCAATAATAAAATTACAAATGAGTAATTGTTTGCGCATGACAAACTTCTTATTGGAAATTATTTTACCTGTATCCTATTTCAGAAGATGATCTAGCATCACTAGGCAACAGATACTCAAATCGTTCAACATCAGGCATAGGTCTTAATCGATTGAATTTCTTCACCGAAACTGAAAATTAAAGTTAACAAAATTATTCAGTAAGTAAAATAAAAATTGATGCAAAATAGTTATTTAATAAAATATAATTTTAACAATATTAAATCAGAAATGAGTATCAGATCTGAAATAGCAAATGTAAAATATTCTTCTTTTTTTCTTTCTTCTTCTTAAATATATGATTCCTTCATGTAAATATTTAATGTTACCGAACTGTTTGCTATTGTATAAGAACTAAGTAATTAAATTAATTCCACTTAGGGACTATTCTACAGTTTATTAAATCTACAAGCAACAAGATTTAAAACTTCACTATTAATAGAGATATAATTTTATTTAAATTATCGTTTTATTTTTCCATTTTAAACGTTAAAGATAAATTATCTATCTTCTAGGTGATAAGAAAGAATAGATGAATTAAAATTATTATCTATCTTCTAGGTAATAAGAAAGAATAGATGAATTAAAATTATTATCTATCTTCTAGGTGATAAGAAAGAACAGATGAATTAAAATTGTTATTTATCTTCTAGGTGATAAGAAAAATGAGATGAAGTTAAATATCAACCATTTTGAGTAGGGCTTGTCCACAATGGAGTACTAACCCATGCTTCCTTGATTCCTTAACCCTTTTCCCACGCCTGGCAACATTGACACATCAACCCTAACTCTAACAGCTAAATGTATGTATTGATTAAAAACGTAATATTTATTATTAGAGACAGGATTTATATGTATTTGTACGATTAAATAGCAAACAACTCGGTGGGAAAAGGACTAAACATTTGATGACGATCGGAACATGAAAAGTGTAAGGGCTTATGGAAGTACGAAAAAGCTGTATGCTGGAATGAAAACTATAAGCGGGAAAACTATCTTGAGCAATATGGGGATTGGATGTAATAGCCTTACAAGAAATTAGATGGAGGAAGGAGCCTACTGTGATTGATTTAAATAAATGTACCCTCATCTACAGTGGTCATATTAGAAATATTGTAGCTAAAGGTTTCATGGTGGAAAGGCAACTGAAACAAGCAATATTAAATTATGAGACAGTAAATGAAAGAATTTGTTTCATAAGACTTGAAGGGAAATTTTCAATATATCCCTGGTGAGCGTACATGCACCAACAGAACTTTAAAGAACCTATGAAAATATTCCGAAATACGATATTAAAATTATCTTGGGGGACTTAAATGAAAAAATTGGGAGAGATAATTGGGAAACTAAGGGTGCCACAAAACTACTAATGATAATGGATATAGAATAGTAGATTTTGCAACCAGTAAGAAAATGAAAATATACTCATTTGCAAATGAAACGGGTTATTGCAATAACTGTTTGTAAAATTGTTAGGAATCAATATTCTTCCAATGTGACACCTTTTGACTGTTCACACTCACAATGGGCTAATTCCTTTGAAATAAATTCTCTCAAACATAAACAAAAGAGGGGATAATCAGTTCATTTACACCTTGTGTTCACTTCATCACTTCACTTTATTTCTCCCTAGACTTGTAAATGCATTCTTTAAAAATGAAGAAATTCGCAGCCTGGGTTGGTCTGCTTGCTCTACAGATCTAAATCCCATTGAACATCAAATTTTTTAATTTTCCAATTGGGATCCATCTTTGGACGGGTTTCAATATGGAATACCCTTCTACATTCTCTGGATGAACAGCACACAGTACTCTTAGAGGAGTGGGAAACGATCCCTCAAGATAGCAACAAAATGCTAATAAGAAGTATGATTTGTCATCTTCAAACAGTAATTAATGCTCGAGGTGGACCGACAAGGTATTAAAACAAAAAGATTAATAAAGTTTTTAAAAATTCTCATTTTTTGATTCACTACTTCTAAACATGTAAAAGTAAATTACATTTTAAAAATTTTAACTTTTAAAAGTTAATTTTTTTATCTAATTTTTGATGATCCAATTAATTTGCAAATGAGTATAGTAAGTACCACTTTTCAACATAAACATATCCAGTAAGAAACTTGGACATCACCAGATTGCAAGACCAAAAAACAAATATGTCTTGTTATGATAGAAATGATATTGAAGATATGAAAAGCAGCAGAGATGGATGTAGGTTGTGATCATTTATTGGTGAAGGTGAAGTTAGGTAAAGATTGACAATAACAACAAAAGGCAAAAATAGAAAAAGTTACAATAAGTATAATAAAAATGCCATAAAAATAGCAGACATCCAAAAAAGAATATGAAAGAAAAGTGGAGCGGTAAATAGGATGAGGACAACTGGAAGAGCAGGAAAACATTAAAATAAATGGAGAAAAAATAAAGAGAGTTGTTCCAAAGGCTGCTGAAGAAACTGTAGGAGAAGAAGTGGGAAATATTGTAATTAAGTAATAAAATAACAAAGCTCTTGGTATGGATGGGGTCCCAGCCGAGATGCTTAGATATAGAGGAGAGAGCCAGTATCGGGAGAGTTATGAACTCATTCTGGAAACAAAAAGGGTGATAAATTAGAGTGTCAAAATTACAGAGGGATAAGATTACTAGGAACAATTTATAAAGTGTTATCTGGTCAGTTACTGATATGATTAATGATAACATCAGAAGAAGTTATAGGTGAGTATCAAAGTAGGTTCCACCCTAGATCTACTATTGATCACATATTAACAATTAGGAACATACTAGAGAAGTGCAATAAGTGAAACCTTAATTTACACCATCTGTTCATATACACTGACAGGTAAAAAATTCCAGCCACATGATTTTTTCATATATTCATCTAAAAATATTTCTGCTTTGGATTGGTCTATTGTTTTTAATGAATAAATAGGTAATCTTTTTGTTTGTTTTCAATTAGGAATGTTAATATAGAGGACAATAACTCTTAATCCTTAATTCAATGAAATGATTCTAGATTCCAATGTTTACTTTCTATGGAATCAAAATTTTTATTCAGTATCGTGTTATTAATGTTCAGTTCAGTGACGTTTCTTGCAGCACATTTCTTAGTCTCCGGCTTTTAATTTTTTCAATATTAAGTTTAAAAATGCCTCTTAATGCTGAGGATGTTGCACGTAGTGTGGCACTTATTGATGATGGACGTTCTATTAGATATGCAGCTAATGCCATCGGAGTTCCATATGAAACTTTACGAGACGCCATCAGGTGTTTTCGGGAAACTGGTTCTTACAATAGAAGGCCCGGTTCTGGACGGCCTAGGGTAACAGAACCACGGGATGACCGGTTTTTGACTTCGTGAATTTAACGAAACCGGCACCATACCGTTGTTCAAGCGATTCATTAGCTCGAAGAAGTTCGATGTGTGCAAATTTCTGAACGTACCGCTCGGAGGATTAATGGCTTTTCGTCCAGTAAGAGGACCAGAGTTGACCAGAACTCACAGAGTAACACGGCTGGCTTTTGCTCGATAACACAGCCATTGGACTATGGACGAATGGAGTGCTGTACTTTTTACAGATGAGTCAAGATTCGCTCTTCGATCTCCAGACGGGTGTGAAAGGGTGAGGAAAAAAAGAAACGAAAGATATGCAGCCTGTAATTTTTCCCAGAGCCAACCTTTTCAATGTGGTTCCTTAATGGTGTGGGCTGGGATTTCAATGGAGCGCCGCACAGAATTCGTTGTTGTTCGTGGAGGGTCTTTGATGGCCATTCGCTATGTAGATGAGATTTTGGAACCTCATGTGTTGCCTATCCTCAAAGAAATCAGCGATCATTCTATTCTAATGCACGCCCACATGTCGCCCGCATAGTGCAGACGTTCCTTCAACAGGTTTTATCCTGGCCAGCACATTCTTAATAATGATTCGTTATTAAATTTTTTTTTTTATTTAATCTTTCTTACCCAATCACATTTTGATTATTAAAGGTAAAAAAGATTATAAAATTCCATAAATACTAAGTATTATCTAAAAATACCATGTATTATATAGAAATACAACTTTACTAATGAATCGCTTGAACAACGGTATGGTGCCGGTTTCGTAAAATTCTCGAAGTCAAAAACCGGTCATCCCGTGGTTCTGTTACCCTAGGCCGTCCAGAACCGGGCCTTCTATTGTAAGAACCAGTTTCCCGAAAACACCTGATGGCGTCTCGTAAAGTTTCATATGGAACTCCGATGGCATTAACTGCATATCTAATAGAACGTCCATCATCAATAAGTGCCACACTACGTGCAACATCCTCAGCATTAAGAGGCATTTTTAAACTTAATATTGAAAAAATTAAAAGCCGGAGACTAAGAAATGTGCTGCAAGAAACGGCACTGAACTGAACATTAATAAACACGATACTGAATAAAAATTTTGATTCCATAGAAAGTAAACATTGGAATCTAGAATCATTTCATTGAATTAAGGATTAAGAGTTATTGTCCTCTATATTAACATTCCTAATTGAAAACAAACAAAAAGATTACCTATTTATTCATTAAAAACAATAGACCAATCCAAAGCAGAAATATTTTTAGATGAAAACATGGAAAAATCAAGTGGGTGGAATTTTTTGCGTGTCAGTGTATTACAATCAGGTATATGATATGATAGTTTAGCAAGAAATGAGATCTATCAAAACTTAAGAGATGTTAGATTGCTCCATAAAACGCATTACAATGGTAAGGATGACTCAACAAAATAAAATAGTAAAAGTTTCGAACAGGTCCAGAGAGAAGTGTCCTGAAACTTTGTCATTCGAAAAGGAGCCAAACCGGGAATCCCTTATTGTGCTGTTATTTAACATGCTCCTTGAGAGGATTAAGAGGGTAGCTACAATAAAGGCTAAAGGATGTAATTATAATAATATGACTTAATACTTAAGATATGCCAATGATGAGGTCAAGTCAAGATTCCCTTTTAGTGACATTTACGAAATGTGAAAAGGTAGCTAGGAAGGCAGGGTTTACAGTGAATGAAATTAAAACAAGTGTGTGATATCATCCAGGAAAGCCTCAGCAAGTGGATGTCTGTTATGAGGAAGATGTAGTTTTGAAAACGTGGAGAAATTTAAGTATCTTGGTACAATTGTAACCAACGATAACAAACTGGAGGAAGAAATAAAAGCAAAAATTAGAAACTGAAAAAAATTTATTGGTCCCTTAGAAAGGTATTTCAAAATAAAGAGATATCCCGGAACATAAAATAAGGGTATATAAAACGCTACTTCACCCACTTGTAATGTAGGACAGTGAGTCATGGATTCTAATGAAGCAACAGGAGAGATTGGTGAATAGATGAGAGAGAAAGATTCAGAGAACAATATATGGCCCAGCAAAGAAGGAAGTCATTAATGCATAAGAACCAATGCAGAACTAAAGGACTTATATGGGGATGGATGTAATATTTTAGCAATTTATCACCCTAAAACCCCTACCCTACTTATCTGGGGAACCTAATATAGTTTGTTGCATTAAAAATAGAAGAATAAGATGGCTGGACAATGTATATCAGATGGATCAAAAAAGACTCCAAAAACAAATAATGAAAGGACGTCTAAAAAGAGGAAGAGGCAGACAAGACTACGATACTGTATGATAGATAGATGACAGATGATGTAAAGGTAGATCTGAGGTCACTAGGTGTGAGATATTGGAAAAAGCTTCAGAGGATCAGTCTAAGTGGATGAAAGTTGTTGAGGAGGCCTAGGTCCATTATGGGCCATAGCACAGAAGGAAGAAAAAGAAGAAAGGTCCCACTTACCTGAGCCGGAAATTTTATCTAATTAGATTTACGAGTAAGTTCTAAAGTTGTTTCCCTACTAATTTTATTTTTGTTATTCAGAATTTAACTAACTATGTTTATTTAATCTGTAAAATAATAAAAATCAAATCTTTAAGAGATTGATTGATTGCCATAGATATACATTTGCAAATTTCATTACACAAAATTTTGTGAGTACTGCTGTTGTTAGTTATCAACAATTAGAATCTATACAAACTAAAAACTATAATATATTATGATATATTGTAAAGAATAATATATTATAATATAATTATAAAAATAGCGGTCCTAGGAAGTAATCAAGATGACATTGAGAAGCTGCCTAAGACTCTGATAAGAGAGGCAGAGCCGATCGGCCTACAAGTAAATGAAGACAAAACAAAATATATGATAATAAGCCAAAAATTCCACCCCAATAACAGGATCTGCATAAAATCATTTCCGAGAGTAGAAAAATTCAAATACCTCACCTCCACAATAATCTCAATGAATGACCAATGGGTAGAAATAGGCCAGCGTATAACTAGCACAAACAGAACTTTCTTCTCCCTTTCAAAGGTATTGAAATCCCGAAAAATCTCAAGAAATCTCAAACTGAGGGTGTACAATGCTATGATAAAGCCAGTTCTAATATATGGCTGTGAGACCTGGACACTAACCAGAACCCTAGAAAATAATGTTGAAACACTTGAAAGAAAAATCCTGCCCACGGTAAACGGAACCATCTGGGATCAGAGTACTAACATATGGAGAAGAAAGTCCAATAAAGAACTGCTAACAGAAACTGGTCAATCAATATCCCATGATATGAAGGTAAGGAGGTTAAGATGGGCAGGGCATGCAGCTCATAGCAATCCATCTGGAAGCCTCTACGTAACAATGAATGCCTTAATAGAAAGCAAAAGACCACGTGAAAGGCCAAAAAGCAGATGAATAGAAAGAATCTACAAAGATGCAATAGAGCTGTGTACAGATAAACGGAAAGAAATAGCAGGCAGAAATCTAAGACAGACAGAGATGGAGCAGGCTTGTTAAGGCGGTAAAAGATATACATAGTCTGTAAAGCCAACAATAAAAAACAACTAAATTAAAAAAAATATACCATTTAAGTACCACTTAACATTAAGTACTTAATATCTTTAGTCAAAAATTTTCTCTCATGTTATAGTTTACAAATTTTACAATACATACGATAAATATTAATACAAAATAAATTAAATTATGATTGGCTGTTAATAATGTAAAATAAAGTATGAAAATGAGATAATACCAAATTTTTCTATAAATCTCACCGTTTTAAGGTCTCGATGCACAAGGGTCCAGGCTAAAAAAATTCCTGAATGAGACAAAGCAATCCTTTAGTTTGGTGCGGGGGGTTATGTTATCCCATAGGATGGAAAAATATTACAGTATTTCTTAGAATTCCTAAGGCTTCCTTTAAACTTCTGCGGAGGAGGCAGAATTTTTTTTTTTTTTTTTTTGTGCCTTAGTGAAGTCTACTGTAGAAGGATTTCTCAGCAATAACTGAATAAATGACATTTTCATTTGTTGTTTTGTTTTTAAATGGAACTGAAGTAGTTTTTTTTTTTATTTTAAAACTTTGCCATATTGAACTTATTGTATATAACACCAATTAAATAAAATCAGATGTTCTTTAAAAAAAAGTTTTTTTAGACTGGAGATTTTCTTTAACAGAAAAACAATATTTTTATGAGAAATGAATTCAGGAATATTCCTAATTGGTTTAGTGGGTGATAATCGATCATATTGTTCATATATATGACAAATTTAACTCTTATGAAATCTTATTTTAAATTGCGATCATACAACCTAAACATTAAAACTTTAACTAATGGGTCTTAAAATATAAAACAACAAATCGTTACTAACTTAGATCTATCAGAATAACTATGATAAAATTTTAAAAATTAAGGAACTTACTGATATATTTTAGTAATACAGCAGTTTCAAGTAACAATTCAACTGATATCATGCCAATCATCAAATACCGAAGTAATGACTCATACTTTATATCAAAGTAAGTAGGATATATATGATATGTTTTACTTAGAACTCCCACAACAGCAAGTAGAATGGAAGAAACTAAAAAAAACATCACATTATTTAAAAATAAAATATTTTATAATCGGCTCAAACATTTATTGGTTACTTACAAAAGGAGGGAACAGCAAATAAAAAGTATGCAACTTTTTGCATTTTTTTGTAGAATACAAAGTAACCACCCAATTTCAAGTGCTGGTGACCTGACACATAGTTAAAATGAAATATCTGAAAAAAGAAGTACAATAATTAATATAAACCTAATTCAAAGATATTCATTATAAAATTGGTTAGATAAAAATGAAAAAAGGAATAGGGTAAATGACTACTTATGGACACTTTACCAGTTATGAACACCCTTTATTTCTTTTACCAACAATAAGAACTAGGTAGACTTGAAACAGATGAGTTTTGTCAACTGTTGTGCCCCATTGTTACCCCAACCACCACCCTTTCTCCCCCTTCTTTATTTCTTGTCAAGTACTCAGTATAGTGACAAGTCTTTCAATAGTCAAGATCATTGTTGGAAAAACACCAGTTTTATTAGTAGCAGCCTTTTCATGAAATCGTAATCATCATTTTACAACTTTGAAGGTATGTACACATTCTATATACATTTTTTTAAGTAATAAGAGTTTATTATTTTTTGTACACGTTTTTTACTTTATTTAAATTAAAGTGTTCATTGTTGGTTGGAGAAAAAGTGGTACAACTAGTTATGAACACCCCTGTTCATAATTAATTGTGATTTTTATTCTAAGATTTTAATTTGAAAATATTGCATTCTTCCGTCTGAATATTTTGATATAATCCAAAGTTGAATCAGTTATCAATTACCAGTTATGGTTAAGGGTGCCCAAATTATAAAGAGGTATGACTCAACTGGTTATGGACACCCCTCTAAAATAATATATTGTAATAAGTATACATCTTTATTGGAAGTTGGTAAAAATGGTTTAATAAATTAATGTTGAGCAGTTAAAAGGCAAAAAAATCTAGTTCTACTAGCTCAGGGAAAAGAAAATGGCTGCTCTGTAGTTTCCCCAAAAAGTAAAATCCCAAAGAAAAGGGAAATCTCACTGTACCAAAATGCAACTAGAATCTTGCAGCCTGCTGATGTTGCTGCCTTAAGGCCTCTAAAAGAACTGTGGAGACAGAATGTGTCCCTTTGGCTGACTGCAAATCCAGGAAAGGAAATCACTCGGAAACTTTTTGCTCCAATTTTAAAAAACTCACTGAATCAACTAAAACTGGAAACAATTATAAATGGGTTCAGAACTTGTGGTATTTATCCATGGAATCCTGACACGATTGACTTTGAAAAGTGTTTATCTAAAGGGTCTCAAGAAAAAATAATTTTAGAAGAACCTGCTAACAGCACAAAAACTCTAACACGGATGGGATTTGAAGAGTTTGTAGATGATGTAATTTTAGAAAAACTCCAAAAAGATTCTGTCCTTAACACTGCGGAAAAATGTTTAAAAATAATTTGGAAATATTTCAAGGATGAAAATAACAATTAACTGTTAATTAATGAGGAATAAGGTAATAGCAATATAGAGGCCATCAGTAATAACACTGAATCTCCACAAGTATTAAACCTAGTTACAGACGTAATTCCTCATCACCCGGACATAGAATTAAATAATAATATTCAAACTTCAGCTGGATTAAACCTGGTTAGTGAAAAAGTTAATTTGCATATTTGGAAAAAATTATTTTCAGATAATTTACCAGACAGTGATGATGAAAATGCATTTTGTGTCCTTCTTGCTTTCAGCTTGATGATGAAAGTGATGGGGGTGATAATATTTTTGCAGCAAGTTAAAAACTATATAAAACTTAAAATTGTAATAATATATTGGTTAATTTTTTTATATGTTGATCTTTAGGTAAATAAACTGTATTATTGTTTACTGTATTATTATACTTATTTGATAAACCTGGTCAAATAAATATTTATAGACAAACAAAATAAAAAGTATTTGTGAAAACTTTAGTTGAAGTATTTTTCTTCCTCTAAATATTATTTTTAATTCACTAAAGTATTTTTCTAATACTGGAAGTAGTGTTCTTATAGTGTTAAATTTCATGTTTTTTGAATAGATGTAAAGGCAAGTAAAGGGTTGTCCATAACTAGTTTTCAAGGTGTCTGTAACTAGTAGAGGTATCCATAACATATCGAGCAGAACTATCTAAAATTAAAAAAAAAAAAAAAACGGCTTAAGGGTGTCCACAACTAGTCATTTACCATAAACAGTCAAAATAATTTTTTTATTAGAGGTAAGATACAAAGAGAGCTTGCCATATGATTACAAAGTTTGAGATTTTCTATTTAATCAAAATAAATCAAAACAATGTTAAATAATCAACATTAATAAATGAAAAAAATCAACCAAATCAGATATCAATATGTCGATAATCTTCTTACATAGATCTACTACCGTCGATAATACATGAAATTAGACCACTATTTCTTAATTCGCAACCAACTCACTCAGCTCCCTATCCTCAAAAATCCTCAAGTGTCTTAAAAGGAAGGGCCAGAAATGGGGGAGAGAGCAAAAAATGTACTTACTCTTTAGCAGCAAAATTTAGAGGGTTGGGAGGAAGGCAAATTTAATTTTTAGGGAAGAAATATTTATTTCAGCTTTTTAATTGTTTTGGATTAATTAAGTCAGTAAAAATGTGTTAATGTTGTGATATTATGATATTTATATTGAAATATATTACCGAAAATATTCTAACTATAGTGTTTTATTGGAGGGCTTAGGTGAAAGAAGATGCAGTAAAATTTAGCTTGACCCATGGCAAAAATCCCAGGCTAAAGGGTATTCAAATAATTTACTCCTGCATAAAAACATTGTACAATTGAGTAAACAAAGAATGTAAATAGTTTTTTATTTTATTTTTTAAATCTCTAATAAAAAAATTAAATGTTTACTCATCTATTAAGACTACAAAAAAATATAAGTGATTATTTTCTATAACTTGAACCAGTGTCAAATCAAATAGAGAGGAAAAGGAGAAAATTCCTCTTCCAAAATAGCCATTGAGAAAAAAATATGGATGTTCGAAAAATACTTAATAGTACCAGTACCCATCAACAATTGTGAATAAATTATTATTTATTAGGTACAGGAATAATTTATGCATAAAAATTTCTGTTATAGATGAGGTAACATTTCTTCCAGATTCTCTGATCACCCTGATAGTCCCCCCTCCCCCTCCAAAAAATAACTATTTCTTAATTTGCCTGTACCCTAAACAAGACTTACTTCTGAGGCTCATGTGATTTTCTCTATATTTTTTCGATCAAGCTGTTCACATAGTTTTTAAACAATCTTCATTAATGGTGTATGGAAATCAGTCAAAAGTGATTTTTATTTTATAAATTTTAAATGATTTCACATTGTTAAAAATATTCATATGTGAATAGTTATTATTGTTGTAAAAAAGTCTACAATTCTAAAATCTCTTTGTAAAGTTTATGTTGAAATAAAAGTTAGTTTATTTCAACTTCAGAGTACTCAAAGTTACACTAATCAATCCTAGGGATCAGATATAATGGTTAGTTATATATAGACCCTAACCTGAACACCTGGGTTATTATATCAGTTAATTTCAATGTTTTCACAATCAATCTACAATCATGTTCCTTTTCTATGGTAAAGACTCTGTTATTTTATAAAACTATACTATACATTCATAAGAATGTTAGACGACAGCAAAAGAAGATACTCTGAAGTTTTTAAAATCTCTTGGTGAAGTGGGTGGTTATCCTCCTCGCACTACCTGCATCATAAAGGAAGATTCTGGACACGAGTTGACTTGCACCTGTTGGAGCACTTGCATAAAGAAGTCTGTTCAGTCCATGCAGAAAAGAGTGTATTTTCTTTCCACTTCATTAATTTATCCCAGAATTTTAGTGTTATAGCCCTTGTGATAGTATAAATCTAACGACTTTTAAGAATTTTCCAATACTTATATAAATTTTAGAAAAAACACATACACCATTCATTAAACTAATAACTACATTGTGTAATACGGGTAAAAACTGAGTTTTAAATAGGTATCTACTTTAAAAGGAATTAAAATAGTTAATAAGTACATTTTTTTAATTTAAAAGTATTTTCATGGATTTCAAGTACCTTTAAGAGAAAAAAAAACAAAAAGTTTGCTTACATAGTTAATTAATGTTAATTCATTTTTTCACTTTTCCAGATTGTATGGATTGGATATTATTGGATATTTTTTTCAATAAAAAAGGTTTACTTCTAATACTATCCATAATACTGTATTGCACTGTAACTATAATTGTTTCTGCATAAAATATTCAGCATTTTTAAAATTAACAATCAAGCTATAAAACATACTTACAAAACAAATAGTCCAAAATGTTGCTTGAGACAACATATAATCTCTGAAGTCTGTCATCGGAAGAGCTAATACAGTACACACTGATAGCTGGAAATTACAAAAAAATCAATGAAGCTATTAGTATTTCATTTCCATATATTATCTCCTTGAAATGAGCAAAAGCCTATTCTATTTAACAATAATGTTAAGGAAAAATAAAATAAAATCTATCTATAATATAAAGGAACTTATTTTTTTTTTTATAATTAAATTATATATAATAAAATTTAATGCTGGAGAGAGATATTTTACAAAGTTAGAGCTATATGATTTGTATTATACCATATAATAAACCTTATTAAAAAATGTATGAGTATATGAAAATAATTCAATGATATAGGGTCAAAATCTAATTAAAAGTGATGAAATAATGTTCATTGGAAAAAAGCTAGGGTTTGGGACACCTATTCTGCAAGCTGTAACCTTACTACGTAACAATGGTATTTGATAAGAAAAACAAATTGATATCAGTACACATACACATATCTATATTTTTTTACCACAAAGATTTTTTAACAAGTGACTGCCCCTAGTAAATGTTATCAAGGTTTTATATTTTTACTTTTGCTATACTTGTCTGTAAGAATATCGGTTATGTATAATAAGTAGACTGTCAGGGCCGAACGCCCCTGTCAAAATTTGTTTGCCAAATTTCATTCAGGAAATTTTGACATCAATGATGCTCAACTGTCTGGTCACCCACATGAAATTGAAACGAGCAATGTTAAGGCCAATGATGATCAAAATTCCAACCAGTCTGTACGAGAGATTGCTATGGCTCTAAATGTGTCACACACAAGCGTAGAAAACCATTTGCACAAGCTCAGCTATGTTTCCAAGCTTAATGTTTGGGTTCCTCACTCTCTAGCCAAAGTCAACTTCTATTTGTGATTCACTACAGAAACAGCAAAAAAACGACACATTTTTGAAAAGGTTGATAACAGGAGATGAAAAATGGATATTTTATGATAATGTAGTCCGTAGAAAATCTTAGGGACCTAGTTGTGAAACCAGTTGGACAATGTTTATGATCAATGGTCAAGCTTTGTATTGTTAAGACAAAACAGCTCCAAACACTACTACAAAATATGACTAAAAACAAAGCACTTGAAGCAAAATCATTTTATTTTCATATTATTTCTTATTTAGCACAGCATTACAACTCTTTTCTAGTTCTTTTCTCCTCACCAGCATCCTCCAATATATCTATTATGTGTGATCCATTTATTCATGATCCAAACTCTAAAACTTTTCGCGTCATAAGACATACAGTTGGTCCTTTGCACCCTCAGCCTTTTCACTACTTTTAAAATTCTGAGGAACATTCCTGTTAATAGTTTAAAACTAAGAAACGTCATCTTTAGTTTTACAACATTAATATTGGGTGGATCCATAAGTTCGTTCGAATTTTGAAGTGTGAAATAAAACAATTTTTTTTTCATACAAAGAATAAATTTTATTCAATAATGTATTCACCATTTTTATTAATGACCTCTTGCCATCTTTTGTTTCAATTTCATTATTCCGCTCTCATCATCTGGGGCTTAAAAGCAAAAAACTTGATCAAGGTATATTTTCAAATCTCTCTCATCAGCGAACGATTGTCCATTAAGGGAGTTTTGGAGGAACCGGAATAAGTGGTAGTCGGATGGTGCAGGGTTCAGAGAATATGGTAGTTATAATAAAACATCCCGGCCAACTTTTGCTGTGCGATTATTGCTTAGCGTGATCTAGCGGTGTCATGGTGGAGTATAACACCTTAGCTATTGACCAGTTATTGGCTTTTCTGTCTCAATGCTTCGTCCAATTTTGTTAGTTTTGTGCAGTAGATCTTCAAATCAATCATTTTTCCTTGTGGAAGCAACTCGTTAACCAGCACACCGCGATAATTTCACCATATAGAGAGCAAAATCTTTTTCAGATATAGGCCAGCCTTGGGGGTGGCATTAGGTGGCTCTTCATCAGTTTTTCAAGATCTCCAGCGCACTACATTGTCATAGATGATCCACTTTTTGTCACCCGTCAATGTTCGTTTGAGAAATAGGTTCTTTTCGTGCCGGTTCAGAAGAGAGTTGAAGCTTGATATTCAGTTGGCCAGGTTTGCCTCAGTCAGTTTGTGTAGCACCCGAACATTGAGGGGGGCACGTAGCCAAGCTATTTTAGATGCCTTTGAACAGTTCCAAAATCTTTTTTTGGTGTCTCCGCAATTTCTCATACCTGTAGCAATCGATCTTGTTCAACCATGGTGGGCTGATAGCTCCAGAGTGCATCTTCCAGACTCTTATCTCTGGAATGAAACTTGACAAACCATTTTTGAGCAGTACGTTCTGTTAAGGCATTGTCCCTGTTAATGTAAAGTTAAATTGAACCAGTAAAAATCCTTGTAAAGAAGAGTATTTCTTAACTCAGATGATATCTTATGGACAATTGGTCACCAGCTTCAGGTTGTTAAAGGACATGATTACACTCAAGAGTATTTAAACAGATTAGATTCATGGGATCTCCTTTATGTCATAAACAATATATGCATTTCTCACACCCAGACAAATATACATATATATCTCTTGTGGTAACTAAGAATTTTTTTTTGTTAAGTCTCTAAAAAGATATAGAATAAAAGAAATTGTATAGGATTGCAGGGGGAAAAAAACAGTGACAGCACTATCAAATCTAATGACCCGCTGTGATTTAAAAATAAAGCACATAATTCGGTAGATACACATAATACTACATAATATTATCGGTATTTCAGGTAAACACTAATTAATATCGACTTACCGTCAAAATTAAATGGGTGACAGCAAGCCATACTGTTTTTAAAGGTATGAACCTATTCAAATTAAAACTAGCTGTGTCACTATACGAAGCATCGAGTCTTGATAGCATTTTTGAAGCATAAATTACTCAATTGTAGTATCCGTTGTTAAAGGTTATCTTTTGATGTAAACAAGTATTACATTACGAAGCGTTCAAAATGATGAATAAAATTAATTGAACTTTGAAGTAGCACACTGAGTTTGATGTCGCCTAGAATTTTTAAGTTCAAAACGAGAAACTTTAACAATCTTTTAAAATTTAATGAGCCCTTCCGTCTTTATTCTAAAATTATTGTATTACAATTTCTGGGATAATGTGAATTCGGTATTACTCAATATGTAACCTTTTGTAGTAAAATGCATTAGTCCTAATTATCCATGTTGTCAATACCACTGCCCTACAAAAAAAATATATTTGCGTGTATCTTGGATGAAAGCTGTTCTCTTGACTAATTTTAGTGTGAGAAACTCGAATTTCCTGTCAGATTCCTTATATTAGCTACCGCTCTGAACATACGTATACCCAGAATCGAATATAAACAATAAGTCATTGGAAGCTACCCGATAATTTTTTAGGCTTTGAAAGTGCTTTATTATTTGTGAAATACTATTACAACTCACAAAACATTAAATTACTACTTCTCTCGGCATGAACAGCGCTGTTGTACAGTTTATTTAGAACGTTTCTTCTTTGCTTGAAGATTGTACTGATGTTCTGGCAAATCCCTCGCAATGTTCCAACAGTATTCAGCGAGCATTGAGGTGCCATACCAACGTTGATACCTTCGTTCCATGAGGATATTTCTTGGTGAATCGCTCACCATATTCGTCACTTACAGATCCACAATTTTCGGGAAAGAAGTCTAAATGAGAGTAAAAAAAGTGAATTTTGAGTGACATGTTACAACCAAGATCTCTGTACTTCTCAAGGAGGGTTTTGGCAAACACAGCATAATTGTCCTCTCTTCTGTTACGCAAGAAACCATTAGCTAAAGCTGTAAATGCTTCCCACGCTACTCATTCTTTACCCTGAATAATATTCAAAAATTCCCCGTCATCAGAAGCTCACGGATTTGTGGACCAAGAGAGAGAATCACTTTATTATCATAAAATAAAATAAAATGGTGCTGCCCAATTACATTGGACAACACAGCATACTTATTAATCACTACAGACATTATTTAAAATTATCATACAATTATATAGGATTAACAATATGTATGAGCATAGTATACAATATTTTATACATATATATATATATATATTTTTTTTTTTTTTTTTTTTTCCTTTTTTTCTCCTTTTTTTTTTTAATTTTTACTATTTCTTTCACTCATTTATTATCATTCTGTACCCTTTCTCTTCCTTCTCTCCCCCTATACATGTTCCCACTCCTCACATTCTCTCCTCTCTCTTTCTAACCTAATACATAAAAAATACATAAAGTACAGTGGACGTGTTCAATAAATATAAAGATGCTGTAACACACGGATGCCTCCCCCCCCGCGAGCAAACTCTCTCCCTATCCGCTCCCATGCACATGATGGTGGATGATTCCCAGGGAGTCGAGGATTATACTCTCTGCTAACCTTGCCACGTCCTTTATGTCGACACCAAGGCCCTCCATGAAGCTCCTTGTTGAGTCTGGTATCGTTCCGCGAGCTCCGAACCAAAGGCCTCTCACGTGGAACTCTCTCGGCCCGAAACTCTCGCGGAACTTTTCACTAAGGAAAGGGATGCATTTCTCATATGTCTGTTTTTTCTCCCTTTCCACTTTTCCTGCCTGATCGAGGTCGTTGGTCTCATATCTCACGGTTGGATCCAAAATCATCGCCGGCTTTCCCGTCTTAGGGAATGCTACAATGTCGGCATATCGGGTGGATCCATCCGTATCTATACAATATACTTCCTCGAAACAGGCGTATTCTCTCTCTTCAAGGAGCCTCATCAGTTCATGTTTGACTCTGTGGTGACGGCATGTTATAAGGAGGGAGTTGTTGGGGCATTTTCCAAGCACATGTGCTGGTGTTTCTGGCTCTCTGTCGCATTTGCGACAGAGGGACCCAACTTCTTTTACCTGTCCGCTGACACCTGGGACTCCACGCAGGGGTGCATAATTAATATTTAGTTTCAGGGCATTTGACCATTCAGACCCAGAAAGTACTTGCTTATCGTACATGTATTTATTGGCTTTCGGGGTCATTTAAAATGTCGAACTCCAATGCCCTGCCACCTGCAATTGGTCCATTCCTCAAACGAATTTTCTCGAAGCGACTGCCGTAGAGCTCTCATATTCCGAATACCCCGATCAACCCCCAATCTCTCGGTACATTCATCAACCTCAGCCGAATAATCAAAGATCGACTAAAAAAGGGCATCGGGCACATTGGACAGTCGCTGAGCATGTTGTAGAGGAGCCTCCCATTGGCAGCGGATTAATCCTAATCCTCGATACCTCCTGGGAGCGTATAACATCGCCGTGGAGGTATTCGCAGGGAGTCCAACAATAGCCTTCACACTCCTGCGAATCATGGTGTCGATGCCGTCAAGTATGGCAAGACGCAGCTTTGTGAGGGGCGCAGTTTGGAGAGGGTAAGTAAGACCCGGGAACAGATATTGGTTGACAATGTTTAGCTTCTGCTCCGGCTTCAGCAAGGGAGAGGTTACCAGTTTATTCAGGTTTTCGTTCGATTTGGTCACCGAATCTTCATTGAACTGTAGCTCTCCCGAGAATGTACATCCTAAATACTTGATTGTATCTCCAATTCTGCAATGTTTGGATGTACTCTCCGTTCTCAAGGGAGAGCATCGCGGTTTCCAGCTCTCCTTTATTTAGAACGATACCCACGTTTTTTTGAGGATTAATAGCCAAACCAATTTCCTCAAACGTCCTCTGAACGCTGCCGATCACTCTTTCTGCAGCCCCCTTGTCACGCGCTGACACGGCCTGGTCATCCGCGAAACCTTGGTCACTTTTTAACTTGTATCCAAATTTTTTGGAAAATTCTTCATCGCACAGGTCGCGATAGAGATGATCGATGGCCAGGTTGAAAAGAGACGACGACAAGGGGCCGCCTTGGGGATCCGGTGACACACCTCTTGCTTCTAAGGAGCTCACGATGTGTTTATGGCCAACATTGTCAAAAGCTCCGACAACGTCAAGGAAGACTACCGCACAATCTTTTTTCATAATCTTTGCATCTTTCAATACAGCGTCGATAATCCTTGCGTTGACGTGCGTTCCCGGGAGGCCTTTTATAAAGCCTCTCTGATTCCTGTGGAAGGTGACCTGTTTTCTTAATTCGTGGTCCAGAACCTTCTCGATTTTATGATTCGGCGCACAATAGAATAAATGGTGATGGGTCTCCAGGAAGGGATTTTGTTTACATCACCTTTCCCCTTATATATTAGTATTGTGCGTCCTTGTCGAAGTGGTTCTGGGACATAGGCCACCTTCAGCATTATCTCTGCAATTGTTCTAATAATATATGCAACATCAAAATATTTAATCATAATTGGTAATTGGTTGAATGTCGTGGATAATGAAGAGAAGAATAGTTGGGGTGGTCAGTCAAAAAGGAAGGCAAAAATAAATGATAATATTTATTTTTTACATATGCCGACGTTTCGACCTGAAGTTCAGGCCTTCATCAGGGCTAAGAAAATAACCAGATAACAAGGTATGAGAAACATAAGTAATGATGGTAAAAAAGATAAGAAAAAAGAAAAAATAAAATAAAAAAAATTTAGAAAAATAAAATAGATAAATATAAAGTAAAATGAAATTGTTAGAATAATGACTAAGAACTAAGAGATAAATAATAAAAACCGTTACAAAGTGTGGAACGATGAAGTAAGTATAATCAAAAAGGGTGAGAAAAGTGTTACAATGGGAATCTTAGAATAAAAAGTAAAACATAAAAAAGAAATATGAAGTTATATAAGAAATGAAATTTTCTTTTGAATTTTTCTTTCACTTTCTATTAACTTTCGTTCAATTTTCCATAATTTTTCTGAGTAATATATCTCTCGTACCTATTTACACTTCCAGCGCTATAGTTCAAACTTCGTCGGATAACCGTTAGAGATGACGCCACCTACACATCTCTTCTCTCCCCCCCTCCATTGTAATGACTTTTATTCTCCCTTCGACACTTAAGGAGACAGGTAGTACTTCTTTTATTTCTTTCTTATTTCAGCTTTCTCAATTTCTTCCCTCCTTCCTTTCATTCATTTTCTCTGTTTTTAACTCTTTATTATATTATACATTGTCTGTACATCTTTACATTATCTCAATTTTCTATCTAACTACTCCATTCTCAATGTTTTAATTTTACTATTTATTTTCATTTCTTATACAACTTCATATTTCTTTTTTATGTTTTACTTTTTATTCTAAGATTCCCATTGTAACACTTTTGTCACCCTTTTTGATTAAGCTTACTTCATCGTTCCACACTTTGTAACGGTTTTTATTATTTATCTCTTAGTTCTTAGTCATTATTCTAACAATTTCATTTTACTTTATATTTAACTATTTAATTTTTCTAATTTTTTATTTATTTTATTTTTTATTATCTTTTTTACCATCATTACTTATGTTTCTCATACCTTGTTATCTGGTTATTTTCTTAGCCCTGATGAAGGCCTGAACTTCAGGTCGAAACGTTGGCATATGTAAAAAATAAATATTATCATTTATTTTTGCCTTCCTTTTTGACTGACCACCCCAACTATTCTTCTCTTCAAAATATTTAATCTTGCTGATCAGAACTCCATCAGGCCCCGGCGATGTGTCCATTGATGTTGATTTAATGGCTTTCTTGACGGTTTCTAGATCAATGGACACTAAATTTGGCATCGGGGCACACTGCTCGTAGTCCGCATGCCTGCAGAGATTTTCGCTCTCAAAGAAGTCTTTATAATATTTTTCGATATCAGCCATCTTTAGAGGACACCTCTTAGGAGCGTCGGCATTCATAAAAGTTTGCACAACTTTTTTTCTTTTATTGTAATAATTATCTTGTGCAACTTCGTATTGATACTGCTCCTGCCTACGACTCCTGTCTACCTTGTTCGCTCTTTGCGGATTTGAGACTTGTCCAGCAC